TCAATTTACTTTGTTCAATCATGTTGAACTGGATTACAGGCTAACAAAGAAGGCAATATCAGGTTGCGTATTGCAGAGTAAATCAACTTTCCAACTAACTTCTGTTATCTTTCTGTGTACTGTAGAAGTGTGTCCCATTTTTTTTTCAGTTTTTCATCTGAGCCATGGGATATTGATATTCTGTTCTTTGATCTAGTTGCTTCCTGCCAAGGAAGTAGTACTTCAAAGATCCAAACTCATTGATTTCAAGCTTTGCTTGCAGATTTCTCTTCAGTTTCTCTATATTTGTCACACATCTTCTGCAAGAACTATATAATCGACATAAACAATTAGGACAAAAATTATCCCACTAAGATTACATTTTATGAATAAAGTGTGATCTGATTGCCCTTGTTGTATCCTTGTTTCTTTACTGATAGAGTAAAAAATTTCAAACCAAACTCTTGCAGACTGTTAGACCATGGAGGAGATTTTTTTTTCAACCAGCACCCCTTTAACCCAATTTTTCTCTCTCCAAAAGTCTTGAGGGCCATCCATGTACATTTCTTTCAAATCACTATTGAGAAATGCATTTTTTTACTTAGAGACCAATCAAAATTATCAGTAAGAGGTAGGAGAAATTTTTTACTTAAGAGACTAATCAAAATTATCAGTAAGAGGTAGGAGAATCTCGACAGTGTTCACCTTTGCAATAGTAGTAAACTCTAGCAAAATGTCTTGCCTTTTATCTTTCTACTAAACCATTAAAGTTGTAATGCATTGTAAACATCCACTTTCAACCCATGGTTCTCTTTCCAACTGGTAAATTCAAAATTCCTAGTGTTATTCTTCTCAAGCACTTTCATCTCCTCAAACACAATTTCCTTCCACCTTGGAACATTTTTCTTTACATTTTTTTTTTGGATTTCTATGCAACACGAGCCAAATGCATAATTAAAGATGGGTAAATTGGAATATGATTTGAAATTAGACACATGATGCTTTGATGCAATCTCTAACTGATTTCCTAGTTATGGGAACATCAAGATTAGGATAATGACCTCTTAGTTATGGGAACATCAAGATTAGGATAATTAAAATTTGGAAGAACTTTACTTTTCTTTGCTTTAGTAGGCTTATTCACCCTCAGTTGAGATCCATGACTGTTTTGAGGAATCAATTTGTTTACTACTAGATCATAATTCTTTCTTTCACATACCACTTTTTTTAAATTTCTTACCTTCAAATATTCCCCGTGTTTTGTTATTAGGATTTTCATGTAGTGACAATTTGATTTTACTCTCTTGTTATTCTTAAGTTCCAAAGACTCATTGTTAGAATTTTGGTTTGTTTCCTTTGATTGTGACATCCTCACTCAAGAAAGGATTAGGTTTACTTACACTTTATAAGGCATTTACAGTCGAGACAAAACTATGTGAAGTACGCACATTTAAAAAAAAAGATAAATCTTCATTGGATATTCCCATAAAGATGTTTACCCTTAAAAAAACATTCATAGTTAATGATGACCGTTTATAATTGGGATATTAAATGCTTATATCTAACAAAGAGGTTCGAGTTTGCCCATTTGTTTGTGTTCATGGACAAAGGCAATGCATCCAAATATTTTTAGAGGCAAATCAATATAAGCAATGAGATTTTTGTGTGCACGAATTTTGAAAATGGGTTTAAAGTTGTATAACACCATGCAACATGCTATTTATTATTTAGTAGATTTATTAAATGTGCAATGGCTAAAACAACCTCACCCTCATATTTTGGAACTTTATTAGAAAAAGGTAAGACTCTGGCCACTTCTTATTAGTGAGATCTTTAGAATAGCTAGGAATTGGAGTGTATCAGAAACCTCCTATAGTAAGTTATCTATTTTGCTGAGTACAAAAGCAAACAATTTTCGATTCTTGTAATGACTAATTTTAGAAATCAAAGTTAGTTAGAGTTCAAAATGAATTTGCTTGGAATAGAAAATGCACAAGTCTTAAGATTGACACTTGTCAGCTTTAGTGTATTAGAATTAGCAATAGCAGGTCATATTAAAATTAGTTATAACAAGTCATCTGTTTTACCAAGTATATAAGTAAAACAGTTTCCATTCTTGGAACTAACTAATTTCAATAATAAAAAGTTAGATAAGTCAATCACCATGGATATGACATTGCCATTGGTGTCATCATCGACAACTTCTGCTTAAGTTTCGCTTTCTCAGGTGACGCTGTCACCTATGAGTTCTGTGGAAGAATTAAGTCGTCTTCAATTCTCTCAAGATCACGCACAAATTGAATGAGAAGAACTTCCATCTTTGGCGCCAACAAATCAATGCACACAATCTAATATAGTTTGTTGTGTGTACACTAATTCCTTTGAAATTCGTTGACAATGAAGCTCGCACAACTGGTAGTTTTAACCCTGAGTACTACATTGGCTTTAAAAGGATCAAATGCTTATTTTGTGGCTACAATCTACGTTGTCGAATGAGATTATTCTGCGTGTTCTTGGACGCATTCATGTGCATCAACTTTGGGATTGTTTATTCAATTCTTTTGAAAAGCATACTCCTGTGCGCGTTAAACAATTTTGTGTAGAGCTTCGTGTTCCTCTGTTCAAGAGAATCTTCATAAGATCCACACTATTGTTGTTGCTATTGCTTCTATTTGTGACTCGATTTCTGCATCTCATCACAGAGATGTAATCCTTGAAGATTTTACAAAGATGCGATCCTTTGGTGGAGCTTCGTGTTCCTCTGTTCAAGAGGATCTTCATAGGATCCACACTATTGTTGTTGCTATTGCTTCTATTTGTGACTCGATTTTTGCATCTCATCACAAAGATGTCCATGAAGGTTTTACAAAGATGTGATCCTTGAAGGTTTTCTTGCCGACTTTGCTCAAGTTATTTCTATAGATTAAGTCTTTAGAATATCTTGGAATAGAAAATGTATAGGTCTCAAGATTGACACTTGTCAGCTTGAGTGAAACATAATAGCTCATCTTTTTTGCAAGTAACTAACTAATTTCAAAAATAAAAAAATACTTAGAACTTAAAATGAATCTCTAATCTACCTATTGATTCAAACAACTTCAGATTGGTGCTTATTTTTCTTTTCTCCAACTCCATGTTGTTGGAGTGAGTTAACACATGAACTTAATTCCATAATTACATTTTCCATTAAAAACTCCTAAAATATTGGTAAAATATTTAGAGTATGGTGGAATTAATAGAGTATGCACCAAATTTTAAAGTTCTTGGCAATTTATTTTGCTTCTTATTTCTCTTTTGATAAATATATATAATTTGTAAAAGTCTCATATTTTGGACAATATGTGGTATGAACTTATGTTTAAAAGTTGTATAATTCCACATCTTACAAGCTATTTTTGTAAGGTTGAGTTAAACGTAATTCAAATTTTAAGATGATAAAAGAGTCAAGTTCAAGATCTGTTGGGCTACCTTCTATTAGATTTCAGCAATCCAATTATCTTCACCTTACAAGACTGTTTTGTTGAGATGAGTTAGGCCAACCAACATTTTAATAATAACAAAGTCTATATTATCATTAGTAATGGTGAGAAACTATCTTTTGTAAACATCACTATGAATAATATAAATATGGTTTTTGACGGTTTATATGTTCACAAGCTTCAAATTGGATTAGAGAAAAATCATAATCAATAAAAAATATTAGGAATAAAAGTTTTAAATCCCACCACATAAAATCACCCTTAATATGTGAAATAAAAAAATTAGAGGAGAAACTTGTTTGTCTGGGTTTGTCCGCTCTGTTTTTTTTTGTGGGTTTTTGTAGGGTGAGTCTAAACGGGTTGGGAATGTCCGTATGCCATTCCTAGTTTCAGGTTTATATTTGAGGTAGTAGAGTATTCCATTTTGTTTAGCATTGCCAATCATTATCTCTGAGATTAAATTTTGAAACAAATCACTGAGTATCTAAAGAGTTTTACACGTTTTTATCTCAAGTTAGTTTATAAAACAAAATGCTACATGACAAATGAGGAACATTTAAAACATCTTAAAGATGGTTAATAATGGAGAAAAATAACATTACGTTTTCCAACCTCGATTGAAAAATTGTCATGGAACCTTGATATTTAAATTACTTGCGCGAGATTGGATGAATATACTACACTAAATTCTTCTATCATTTGCTTGGTAACACTTGAATTACTAATTTAATTATGACTCTACTTGACACTGAGTTAACTAAAAAAAAATCTTTTTGGGCTTTGGAACAAAAAGAGGTTTGAGACTAAAGAACGTCCTTGTATTGTTGCTCTATCTATTCCTGAGTGAGTGAAAGCAAGTTTAAGGGACATTCTTTCCTCTGATTAGAAGTAATAGCTTGAAGTGCACATGACCTTCACCTTTCTTCTTCTTCTTCACATTACAAGGTTTCCTACGTAACGTCTTCCCATATTTCCTAACTCCTTGATTACAATTTCTTGTGACAAGTTTAGAACCATATTTGTTGGTAATTTGTTTATTTTCATATACCTCCTCCTGAAATTACTCCTTATATTACTCTTGTTGATGGTTCTAGTTACAACAAAGGGTATCAATCATTTGTCACCATGTCCACAATTTCCATATCATTTAACCCTGTCTTGTTTATATCAGATTGTTCTTTCAATTTGATTTCTCTTAATCAACTTACCTGTTCTCATAATTGTTCAACGACCTTCAATGCTAACTAATTTGTTATACAGGAACGTCGTATGGGTCAGGTGCAAAATATGAATCTCACGGTCTTTACCATCTCAAGTTTGATTCTTCATGGATTTGCCTTGTCATTGCATCACCAAAATTTATTAATGAATGACTAGGACATCCTCACTTTCGAAATTGAAAACAATGGTTTCAAGTTTGAAATTGAAAATGTAAGACTTCCTCATATGAGTAATCAGGTTAATTTGGGAAAACATGTTTGATCATCTTTTGTTAGACAAGTTGAAAGTCTTGTTGATTCATCATTTTTTCAGATATTCATTATGGGCCTCAGTGGTGTGGCTTTTATGGCTTGCAGATATTTACCTTTATTTGATGGATTTTCTCGATGTACTTGGGTCTTAATGACAAACGAATATGAAGCTTCATCTATTTTCACTTTAGTTCATGAATTTAAGACCCAATTTGGTAAGACAATCTTATTCTACGATGTGATAATGCAAAAAAATATTTCTCTTATACTATTACTTCCTTTTTTGACATCAAATGACATTCTCCATTAATCTTCATCTTAACAAAATGACACACGTGAAAGGAAAAATAGACATCTCGTTGAGACTGTTTAATCACTGCTTACTCAATCTTATTTACTAGAGAAACCTTTGATTAATATCGCTTGACATGTTTTTGGAAGTATTTGATTTGTTAATGATCTTTCTCCAAGTTTAGATTGATGATCTCTTTCTAGCCATTTAGTGTGTTTTCTTGGATATTGTTGATCGTTGTAAGGCTATTATTGTTACTCTTGGGGCTTACAATTCATTACCTCCATCTATCCCATCTCACTTCAAGCACGCCACCACGTCCTTGATTGCCATTTGCCATTATAGATAGTGCTTGTTATTGAAGAAATTGGTGAGTGCCCGAGCCAACGTGGCTACCTCTTTTGAGATCTGTCGTTGAGTAGAAAGATTGGATTGCAAAATGGGTCGTCTCAAACCATAAATCGACTACCTTTTTTGAGATCTATCGTTGAGTAAAAAGATTGAGTTGCAAAATGGTCGTCCTAAAACCTAAAGTGGCTACCTTTTGAGATGTCGTTGATTGAGTGGCAAAATGGGTCATCCCAAACCCTAATAGTTGTGGAAAATTTTATGTAACTTTTAAGGACCCAAATTGCATGCAGTAAAAGAAACACGCTTACACGCCTCTAAGTGAAATTGATCGTCTAAATTGATCGTTCAATCAAAATCAGATGACTCTGATTTAAAGTTGAGAATTTTAGAAAAATTAAACCTGTTTTTTATAATCAGTACAATCAAGATCAAACTATTAGTAATATTTTGACAATGTGAATTCATCAAAATTCCGTTTGTAGGGGATTTCATTTCAACCTTAACCTAGGGCTCGTGATACTATGTAGAAAATTTTCAACATAGTATTGAGGTTAATAATGATTAAATATTTCAACATGTGATTTAAAGAGTTTAAATAAAATATAATAAACATAAAATCAAGTAGTATTGATGTTAAATAATGATTAAATATTTCAACATCAATAAAATTGAAAGTTTGTTTTTTGTCCATGACTCGTGATATTATGTAGAAAGGATTGTATAATTTCACATTATGTTTATTCCAATTAAAACGAGCTCTTTGATAGGATATACATAAAAACACACTACAATTTAAAGAGTTAAAATAAAATATAATAAACATAAAATTAAATAGTATTGAAGTTAATAATGGTTAAATATTTCGACATAAATAAAATTGAGTTTTTCTACCCTCGTGGTACTATGTAGAAAGGATTGTATATATAGTACATAAAAAGACACTACAAATTGAAGAGTGATTAAAAGAGTTAAAATAAAACATAATAATCATGAAGCCATATATATGTTAAAATAAAACATAATGATTTGAGTTTCAATGGTTCAACATCGAAACATAATTCTTGACATGATGTTATGGTAAACATATATATGGTAAATTACAAATTACAAAATTCCTGGTATAACTTTGATTTATGTATGCAATTGTAATCACTTTTAAAAGTTGTCTGTTTTTTTATGTCTTCATTGCGGGAGTAGAGAAATTTGCTACACTGTTTACATTTTATACATAGCAGATAGGTTGAGATTATGGCATTTAAGCTTTCTTTTTTCTCTATGCAGAATATGAAACTGACTTTGTTCACCGAAGTTATGGCGTAGCTGGCAACTGTTTTGGTTTAGCAGTCGTAGATATGACATTCTCGGGGGTTGTTAGCGTTTACATCAAAACCCCTGGAAAGCTGTTGAACGTTGTTGCCCAGTCCAATTTCACTGTTGTTGTAAAGTTTCTTGTTCTTATGTAAACTCCTTTTTTTGTTATGTAATTCTGTTCTTATGAGTATAATTGTTTTACTTTCTTCCAGCCATCTTACCATACATAATATGAAAATTTGCACGAAGGTATATAAAAAGTACATGATTGAATTGCTCAAGGAAAACTATTTTCTCATAAGGAAAGCTAAAACAAAGAAGCAAACCGGCTCGTTCGAATGGGGGGTCATTCCCCACATGAAAACAACCTAAATTAGTTAATCTTGTGGGAGAAGACAAGATTTCTAGGGTAAGAATGCATGCATTTTGGAGTTGAGATCTTAGAGTAATATTTGAAGATTGTTCACTACATCTAGGGTTGGCAAAATATTTTTGGCCTTTCGTGCATATGTCTGTTTATTCACACTTTAGTGCGTGATGGATTAAGGGTGTAGGTCTTCATTCTTTAATGTGTCTGTTCTTTATTTTGCGGGCACGGAATTTACAATGAATTTTTGTATTCTTAGGCTAATGTATAGTGTCTGCACTGCCTCGCCATCACTTTTAGTGCTAGACAGGCTAAGCTTTTAAGCCATTTAACTGCACTCGAGTTAAACCTCACATCTCCCTTTATTTGGTACCTTTACGTTAATGTCCTTAATAAAATATCAGGAATGTTGAAAATTACAGGCGGGTATAAAAAATTTAGAAATATTATCGGAAATTATATAATTTTTTTTGCTTTGTACCTTAATAGGTAGTTTTCTATTGAAAATTTCAAATTTCTGGTACCAGAAATTCTAAATATCTGAGAAATAGTTATAATTTATCGGAAATTTTCAAATTTTCGATAAATGCAAAATACTTCTGAAAATTTGAAAATTTCGATATAGCATCAATAAGGCTTTCCCCTTTTTTCCACGATTTTTCTTGAAAAACGCAATTGGTAGAAATGCTTCCAGATTTAATATATACTTATAATAACTGTTATACATATAAGCATTTAAAACAAACTATGATGACTTCATAACTATGTCTTCCTGGTGGCTAAAGTAACTCTCATATGCTGATTCTCATGCTTTTGCATCACCAGTACAATTCTATCTCCAACGGTCAGTGACAGAAGGCAATAGACAATCAAGTTTTAACTTTACCTGAACCCAATGATTGTTGTTGACAAAATCAACAACAATGATTCTATTCCTGCTCGTATACATAGGTGGAGCAAAGACAAGATGGAAAAATGTGATGTTAAGTAATTTAGAAAGGGAGACAAATATGACATTGTATTTAGAAGCAATAGCGTAATTCACATCAAGAATCGTCATCCATTTCTTTCTATCCTGTACATCCAAGTTGTCTACTCGTAACACATTCCTAATTGTAGAGACAATGTCATAGAACAACTTGAAAAACAATTGAGAATGGATGAACTTGAGCATCTAACTGCGTCCGAATCAAAGTAAAGATGAAATACAACGTAAACCTCATTTTCTATTGTTATCAACATCAATAATGTCATCAATGTATGGATGTAGGAAATCAAAAAACCGGGACAATTAAAGACGTCTTGAAGATGCGGTGGACAATTGACTGTTGATCGACATACTTGACGGTTGCCTTCCATTTGGTTTTGTACATGATCTCTTTGTAGTATGACTATGCGAGTCCTCTCCATACTCCTATTGGCTAAGATCACGATGCACATCACTCTCTTGACTTTTCCTACTCTTCTTAACTCCCTTCTTTGGCTTATACTTCATCGGCGGTGGACACATTTAAGTTGTGGATGGATGTGTTAGATAACAACCCTTTTTCTTCAACATCCTTTGACCTACAATATCCAAAGTAATGAAATATGTCTTCAAGTCTTTATACTCTACTTCTAAATCCCACTTTGTACCACTCTCATCGTGAGTAACCTCATGTTTTGCAATGTACAATTTTTGTCAAGAATACATGAATTGAGTCTAAAGGAACATGACTGCCTAGTATTTAGAAACCGACAAACTAACATGCACACGCTAACCCATGTGTTGTTCTAATGAAGCAACCACGTCTTTCTTGGCTTGAACCAATAATTTTTTATATTTTCTAGTTCCTTTCTAACGTGCTGTATACATTGTCTTGAGACAAAACTGTGCAACTTGACATAGAATAGTGTTATATTGATGCTCAATGTAGATATTTTTTTGGAACGATACTCTGACCTAGCTGCAACTTCAACATGGTGTTCACAGCATCCCAACTTCGACATAAATCGCCCCGAATTGTATTTAACATGTTTTTTAGTCTCCAATAAGCAGACTCCACCCTAAAAACCATAAATAAAAATACATGTTTAAAACTTTATTTGAACTATAAATAGTAATAACATCAAACTATCATGTTCCACGTATCTGCTTGTTGTTGTGTTTCTTAAATGAGTGACTCTGTTAGTCTAAGAAATAACAAACCTTTCTTTATAAGATGTCAACCATATTTCATTCACATATTTAACAAATAAAAGAATATCAACACAAAGACTCTCAAAGTGCTTGAAGTGTTCGACATACTTAGTTTCGGTATTTGAATACATGGTATTGTTCCATAGATCCATGACATGTTCTTGTCTTTCTGATTTGACGTACTCTTTATTTTTCATGCTCACGTTTTTTGAAATATGGAACAAACATAACATATGAGTTGCATCTGGGAATATAGATTCTAAGACATTCATCAATGCAAGTTCTCAGTCCGTCACAACAACCTTCAGTAGCAATTTCTCTGAAGAGAACAACTCTTTGACCTTCTCCAGTGTCCATGTTAAATTCTCATCCCTTTCATATTCCAAATAGGCAAAGACAACTAAAAATGTCAACTTCATTGACATAACACCAACAATCTCAAGCAGTGGTATCTGATACCTGCACGATCAAAACACACATAATCAAACTGATAACTCAACATCTACAACATATATTAGGATGTGAAATAAAAAATTCTTACCTATTTGTCTTGTATATGCAATGAAAAGTTAATACCAGATGAAACATATTCAACAACTTTACAGAATCATGATGTGTCTAGAAGATATCTGATACAACATTTTAGTTATCCATATTTCTAGTCCAACACATATATTCCTATTTATGAATAAGACTAAAAAACATATGTGTTTCTCTCAATGTACCTCTCTTATTTGTTACGTATGTAGCTCTAACTTTATACACCTGGGTAACACTCGCGAGGTTTTCTAGATCTTTGTCTTTCAAAGCAACAACTATGTACCTTGGAGCCATATTACACTTCATCATATCATTCACAAACTTTCTTTCATAGTCTTTTAGACGACCCAATGTGTCAAGGTCTTCCAAATCCTTAGATAGTTTATGATTGTGCATCCCGCGTCTAACCATCACCTTTCAAGCGATACCACATGGAACAGATCTCAACCTAAACAAACATTTAACTTTCATAATATAAATTTCTTAAGAGGAATTAATGATTTCAGATGCATTCATTCTTTTGTAATTTCCTCCTCTCTCACAACTCATAATTAATTTATCATTCATCCCCAACATTCCATTAGCAGAATCGAAATGAATAATGACAACAATAACATAATGTCGTTTACCAATAGACTATGTCCATGCTAAAACTTCAAATCAGGACTTAAATATATGCCAATTAGAACATATAAATATTAAACTATCACTTTCATAAAGACGTGAAAACAATCAAAAACTGCATTAGTTAAATAGGAAACATACAACATGTGTGGTGAAGAACTACATAAAATATGTACGGAAATCCGTAGAAGAAGATGTCGACTTTGGACCACACAAATAAGAATTATATCTACACACATATCGAAAATTTCAAATTTATGCAAAATATCTGGTATACCGGAAATTCTGAAATTTCTAGAAGATTTTACTGCTTCTCAGAAATTTCAAATATTTCTGGTATATTTCTTTGGTTTTATCGATAAACACTGGAAACTTCAAAATTTATAGTAAATTGCCTCTAGAAAATTTGAAAATTACGAACAATTACCGGTAAAAACGTGAGTTTGAGTACCAGAAATTTCAATGAGGCTACTAGAAATTTCTGTTTTACCGAATGTCCAAAGTGATTTTTTTTTAAAATGTAATTTTTTTAAAAGTAAATAATAAAATGGGCTTTTTTGTCAATAAGAAAATATGGGGGGTGGCAAGAATAATTTTAGGGGTGCCAAGTTGAATCCTCTCAACTATGCATACCACGTCCAATTTTTTTGCGGGGTTGACATTATTGTTTACCACCCCTAACTACATCCCATTTATTAATCTCAAAACTTGAAATTACTGTTTTATACCGTCAGAAGTTTGGAAGAGATTGAAACTTAGACAGGAAAATACAACAGACCCAATCTTAGAACCACGTTAAATACAAGTAATAAATATGCCCGAACTAGATATTCCAAATATACCATATGAATATTGAAATTCGAATACACCACATATTAGAAGAAAGCTTAAGTTCACTCTATGCATCAGATACCAAACAATTTTGGTAGGATTTTGAAATTTGAATATTTAGCAAAGATTTTTTCTCTCAATGTGTCTGGGTTTTAACTTCCACAAATTGCCGTGTATCTTTTATTCCTTGAGTAATGTTCTATGAGGGAACTAGAAATGAGAGATAAATCTGAGATTGGACTTCCGATGCGGTGCACTGAGATTTTTAATACGAAGGTGTGTGTTGTGCATGCAAGGTTATCACTCTAATGTACCAAAATCAATAAGAAAATGAGAAATAATAAATAGTGGATATGTGTAACACCCCAATTCTATCCCAATCGATAAATATAATAATCAGAGTTACACAATTCACAGCCAAATCAAGATGCCACAAATTCAACCTAAAAACCATTACATTCAACACGGATACATAACACTTTAAAACTTCGGATGAATCAACAACAAAATAAATTAATCTTTTAAACCAACAACTTGAACTACTATGCAGCAGAGTCATACTAACATCTTTATCCAACATTAATACAACATTTGAATAAAAAGTAATTAAC